GATGATGCTGATGATGATGATGACGATGATGATGATGGTGATGCTGATGCTGCTGATTCTGACGACGATGATGTTGATACTGCGCTGATGCTGACGATGCTGACGATGATAATGGTGATGATGACGACGATGACGATGATGATGATGACGATGCTGATGCTGATGCTGATGCTGATGCTGATGATGATGATGATGATGATGATGATGATGATGATGATGATGATGATGATGATGATGATGATGATGATGATGATGATGATGATGATGATGATGATGATGATGATGACGATGATGCTGACACTGTACCCACTGTCCCCACCACTGTCCCCACCACGGTCCCACTCTCCTGTGTCCCCACTGTCCCCACCACCGTCCCACTGTCACCATTGTCCCCACCACTGTCTCACTGTCTCCACTGTCCCCACTGTTCCCACTGTCCCCACCACTGGCCCACTGTCACCACTGTCCCCACCACTGTCCCCACTGAACCACTGTCCCATTGTCCCACCACCGTCCTCACCACCGCCCTAACCACTGTCCCCACCACCACCGTCCCCACCACTGCCCCACTGTCTCCACCACTGCCCCAGTCCCATCACCACTGTCCCCACCACCACCGTCCCCACCACTGCCCCACTGTCCCCACTGTCCCCACCACTGTCCTACTGTCCCCGCTGTTCCTACCAGTGTCCCCACTGTCCCCACCAGTGCCCCTACCACTGTCGCACTGTCCCCACTGTCCCCACCACTGTACCCACCACGGTCCAGCTCTCCCCACTGTCCCCACTGTCCTCACCGCTGTCCCACTGTCCCCACTGTTCCCACCACTGTCCCACTGTCCCCACTGTCCCCACCGCTGTCCCACTGTTCTGTCCCACTGTCCCCACTGTCCCCACCACTGTCCCACTGTCCCCACTGTCCTCACCACTGGTCCCACTGCGCCACTGACCCATTGTCCCACCGCCGTCCTCACCACCACCCCCACCACTGTCCCCACCACAACCGTCCCCACCACTGTCCCACTGTCCCCACTGTCCCCACCACTGTCCCACTGTCCCATCACCACTGTTCCCACTATCACCGTCCCCACCACTGTCCCACTGTCCCCACTGTCCCCACCAGTGTCCCATTGACCCCACTGTTCCCACTACTGCTGTCCCCACTGTCCCCACCAGTGCCCCCACCACTGTCCCACTGTCCCCACTGTCCCCACCACGGTCCCCACCACGGTCCCATTCTCCCCACTGTCCCCACCACTGTCCGCACCACTGTCCCCACTGTCCCCACCTTGGCGGCGCGCACAAGGGGGTGGAGGGAGGGGGGAGGGCTTCTTAGAAGGAGGCTGCTTCTTAGAAGGCGCCATTCTTACATCTGTAGGTAAGGCCCACGCCTTCTAAGAAGCAGGAGCGCTTCTAAGAAGCCCTCCCCCCTCCCCACACCCCCCTCTGCGCGTGGCTGACCACCACTGTCCCCACCACAGTCCCCCATCCAGAGTGGGGGAGGAGGGGGAGTCGTTTGCCGGCGGGCGACGAGGGGGGGGGATTCGAACTGGTAGTGACCCCCCCATTTTCATGGTGGACCCGGGGAAGGGGGGCGGGCTTGGAATCCCCCCCCCGGGGTTTCGAGGGGGGGGGGGGGGGGACGGGCTTTCCAGGGTTGAAACCCCCAGTGACCCCCCCGGTTTTCTACCAACAGCGGCAGAACACGCTCTCTCCGACATTGAAAACCTTACGAAATCCGACGTGTATGAAGGATTTCGGAATGCGCGCGACCCCGCGCACGAACGGATTTTGCTTTTGTTGGCGCAACGGGTTCTTGAAAACTGACGATTCGTGATAAATAAATGCGCGCGAGTATCAATAATATCTGGCAGAGGGTGATTGGGGGGGTCGACAGAAGCCTGGCTCGAGCGGTCTGAACTCATAGGGAAAATGAGCGATGGGGCATAATCATCTGTAAACTGTAGAGTCCCAGGCGGTACCGCTAACTCCGGCCGCGGGAGGCGGGTAGAGCCTTTTCTTCGAGAGAAAACAGATGTGGTACAAAGCAATGCTGCGCGAGGCCAAACAATGTCACGGAATGCACAGCAATACAAAACAATGCAACGCAACGCCAAGTAATACCAAGCACATCATAACAATGCAACGCAACGCACAGCATTGCCAAGCAACGCAACGCAATGCGCAAAGCATTACGGCTGCACTGCAATGGCAAAGCTATGCAAAGCGATGCAAATCAATGCGCAGCAATTCAAAAAAAACTGCTAAGCAACGCAACGCAGTGGAAAGCACGACATGGAATCGCAAACCAATGCTAAACAACGCCAAGCAATGCAGGGCCGTGCCATGCGTTGCAAGGCACGGCATCACAATGAAAACAAATACCAAACAATGTAGGCCCAGGCCACGAGCGGAGACGACGCGGCGACAGGGCGGCGACGCCGACCCGCAGGCCCAGACCACGGGCGGCGACAAGACGGCGACGGTGCGGTGACGGCGACAACATGCCCGCCAGACCGACCCGCAGACAAACACGACGAGCGGCGACGAGGCGGCGACGGGGCGGCGACGGCGACAACATAGCCGTCAGACCGACCAACAGGCCAGCCGCCACCGATTTGTGATGAACGAGCGTGCGCGCATAGCATTATTTGACGAGGATAGGGTGGGGGGATCGATACGGGCCCAGGTAGGATTCTATTAACACTTTTCTCTCTGCTTAAGAGAATGGGGCAGACGAGTATGTCAATCGTGCGATCCCAAGGAGGGGGGATAATCTTTGGGGGGTGGATGGGTCCATTCTATGTGGTGCATTCTGTGTGGCGCAGTCCTTGTTGCAGCGGCGAGGCGGCGACGGGGTTCGGCGACGGCGACAACGTAGACGCAAGACCGCCAGCCAGGCCCAGACGAGCGCCGACGAGGCGGCGACGAGGTTCGGCGCCGGCGACGACGCAGCCGCCGAACCAGCAGCCAGACCCAGACGACGGGCGCCGACGAGGCGGCGACGAGGTTCGGCGACGGCGACGACACAGCCGCCGGACCAGCAGCCAGACCCAGACGACGGGCGCCGACGAGGCGGCGACGGGGTTCGGCGACGGCGACAACACAGCCGCCCGACCAAGAGCCAGGCCCAATCCCGTAGAACAGAAGTAACAAGCCCTAAGTGCAATCCCTGTTTGGGGAGCAGTAAGGTCCCCTGACTGCGAGCACCGTTTGGCGGAAAGCATCAAAAAGGAGAGAGAGAGAGAGAGGAGCGGATGAAGGTATGCATGCGCGTGTGCATGCGTGTCTCGGCCTATACATGTATATAGATTTATAGATAGACTGCACAGACACAGAGAGAGAAAGCGAGCGAGAGAGAGGGAGTGATCAAGCGGCGAGGGGGCGCAAGAACGAGATAACAAAGTCTCAGAGGGGGGCGCGGCATAGCAAAGGGACGGGCTGGGACGGGACGGAGCAAGGGCGAATCTCCTCTGGCGGTCGCTGTCTCTCGATGACGCGCGCCATCATCATCATCATCATCATCATCATCATCATCATCATCATCATCATCATCATCATCATCATCATCATCATCATCATCATCATCATCATCATCATCATCAGCATCAGCATCAGCATCAGCATCATCATCATCGTCATCGTCATCATCATCATCAACATCATCATCATCATCATCATCATCATCATCATCATCATCATCATCATCATCATCATCATCATCATCATCATCATCATTGTCGTCGTCATCATAATCATCATCATCATCAGCAGCATCATCATCATGCCGGCCGAGGCGGTGCCAGACCCTTGATGTCAACCCTCTCCCATGTGGTTCCTCTCCCTCCCCTCCCCTCTCCTCATCAGTGGGCCTGGTCCACCCGCGCCTCCCGATGGAGGTGCGCGGGCTGTTTTGGCAAGCGCCGTACTCTTGAAGGGAGGTGCCCTGGGCTCCAGGGTCGGTTTCGAGCTTTACTCCGTGACCCTAAGGATCACCAATTGTTATGATATGTAGCAGCTGTGAGTTACACGACCGATGGTCGGCCTGTCAAGGTCCAAGTACCTTACAATGCAGATTGTAATTCCCACGGCTCGAAGACCGCGTGGCAGCCTGCGGGTAAGTGCAAACACCCGTCTTACAAGTACGGCTCGGCCAAGGTGCTAGAGCCCGCCTTGGCTTTGGACTAACGCTGTGTGCGGGATAGGACAGGCACATTCTTGTGGGACGGAGCTTGCCCCACGCAGCGCGTTCTCGTGGGAAAGAGCTCACTCCACGCCGTGCGCTCTTGTGGGACGGAGCTTGCCCCGCGCAGGGCCCTGGTAAATCCCACAAGGCCGCTTGGTAACGTGCGGGGGATTGCAAGAGCCCGTCTTACGAGTACGGGTCGGCCAAGGCGCTAGAGCCCGCCTTGGCTTTGGACTTGCGCCGCGTGTGAGACAGGAAAGGTTGGCGTGGGGCTGTTCTGGGATACAACCCATCCCTTCTCTAGGGTTCTGACCTCATCCCTGCACCTTTATGCTGGCCTGTTTTGTCGCTGCTGGCCGAAGTGTTAATCGCATCTCCTTTTCCCAATCCCCCGCAAATCCAGCCGTCGTGGAGAGCCTTGTTCCGGCAGTTGCTCATGATGTAGTCGAACTGGTACTGGTGCATCTCGGGGAACCTGCGTGGAGGAGGAGGAGGAGGAGGAGGAGGAGGAGGGGGAGGAGAAGGAACTATGATGTTCGACGCTAAAAACATGAGGCATAGTGAAACATCACGACCAAATCCACTGACCCAATCTCCTGCGCCATACTTCGGGCCGGATCGATATGTGAGGGTCCCGAGGCCCGACATTGAAATGAAAAACGCCTGGCTCGAAAACATCGAGACGCTGGAATCTCACTCTTTGGGAACCATGTGAACATCGTTCTGAACTCAATTTGTATGGAAAGATAGTTGCGTACGCAGTTTGGCGCAGGCGGGATGGGCGGGATTGCAGCATCGCTCCGCCACCTCCGCAGCAACTTGCCTCAGAGGCCCCAGAGAGGGCCGTGCTAGCAGCACGCTGCGAACTGTGCACCAACGTGGAATAAAATTATCCTGGCGAAGGACCCAACCGTATGCAGTCGTGGGTACCGCAAGTGTGAAAATCTTCTCTGGTAGAGCTCCCTATGGGGCCACGAAGCGCTGCACTGGGTGGGGAGGAACGCTGTTCTGGGTGAGTGGTGTGTCAAGTAAGGCTTCCGGGACGCATGCGGACGGTCCCACTGGGGGCTTCGGTGGAGCTCCCTATGGGGCCACGAAACGCTGTACTGGATTAGCGAAAATGCCAAATCGGGCTTCCGGGACGCATGCGGACGGTCCCACTGGAGGCTTCGGTGGAACTCCCTATGGGGACACGAAACGCCGTACTGGGTGGGTGAAAATGCCAATTTGGGCTTCCGGGACGCATGCGGACGGTCCTACCGGGCTTCGGTGGAGCTCACTAAGGGGCCACGAAACGCTATATTGGGCGGGTAAAAATGCCACGTTGGGTTTTCGGGACGCATGCGGACGATGGCACTGAGGCCTTCAGTGGAGTTCCCTACAGGGCCACGAAATTCTGGATTGGGTGGGTGAAAATGCCACAATGGGTGTTTCAGGACGCTTGCGGACGGTCCCACTGGGGCCTTCGGTGGAGCTCCCTATGGGGCCACGAAACGCTGCACTGGGTGGGCGAAAATGCCACATTGGGTGTGCGGGACGCATGTGGACGGTAGCACTGGGGCCTTCGGTGGAGCTCCCTGTGGGGCCACGAAACGCTGTAATGGGTGGGTACAAAATGCCAAATTGGGTGTTCCAGGACGCGCTCGGACGGTCCCTCTGGGGGCTTTGGTGGAGTTCCCTATGTGGCCACGAAACGCTGTACTGAGTGGGGGGGACGCATGTGGACGATAGCACTGTGACCTTCGGTGGGGCTCCCTATGGGGCCACGAAGCGCTGTGCTGAGTGGGGGGGACGCATGTGGACGGTGGCACTGGGGGCTTCGGTGGAGCTCCCTATGGGGCCACGAAACGGTGTACTGAGTGGGGGGACGCATGTGGACGGTGGCACTGGGCCTTCGTGGAGCTCCCTATGGGGACCACGAAACGCTGTACTGACTGGGGGGGAAAAACGCATGTGGACGGTGGCACTGGGGCCTTCGGTGGAGCTCCCTATGGGGTCACGAAACGCTGTACTGAGTGGGGGGGACTGACGGTGGCACTGGGGCCTTCGGTGGGCTCCTATGGGGTCACGAAACGCTGGTACTGATTGGGGGGGGAGCATGTGGACGTGGCACTGGGGTCCTTCGGTGGAGCTACCTATGGGCCACGAAACGCTGTACTGAGTGGGGGGGGGACGCATGTGGACGGTGGCACTGGGGCCTTCGGTGGGTGGCGCCCAAGAGGCCTCCAAGAGGCTCCCAAGAGACCCCCAAGAAACCCCACGAAGCTCTCCGAGGCACCCAAGACGCTCTAAGAGGCGTCCGGGACCGCCAAGAGGCACCCAAAACGCTCCAAGAAGCCTCCACTGTGGGACCCTTCCTCTGTGTGCTGCCCGATTCTCTGATCGAGGCAATTCCTTTGGGCATCGTTTCTGGATGGGCTGGTGGGGATTCGCGAGGCGTCAACAATTCTGAGCTTCCTTTCCTCATTCATTGTCCTCCTAGTCGTCCTGGTCATTCAAGTCTTCCCTCTCCTCCTCCTCCTCTCCTCCTCCTCCTCCTCCTCCTCCTCCTCCTCCTCCTC